TATATATATATATATATATATATATATTGCATGACGACCCCAAAGCTTGTTTCTTAATATGTTCATTACATGAAGTAAATCATTACAATTAACTGATTAAAGAAAGAAAACATGCCATTTAAGTAAAAAAACAAACATTAAACCAATTAAAGTAAGCTTGTATATATGTTATTCAATGTGGGTGTTGACAACTGATTTCAAAATTAGTTGAAGTAGGTGGATACATTTTATGTAGTGATAGAGTAGTGAAAATGATAAATTACTGTGAACAAAAAAAGTCTTAATAAAACTTCTTCATGTTCCTAACTAGTCAAAAAGCGAGATTTAACTGCATTACAAGCATGGTTCAGGACAGCGAGTCTTACTTAGCACAGAACCGTAACTTTGAAAAGTTATACTCATATTAAGAAATGTCTGCCTGAGGCTTAATGATGTGTTCTACACGAGTTGTAATTAGCAAAGTGGTTGGATTAATAGGAAGATTTATTAAAACAGAAATATCGTTATAAACATTACAATAAAGATCTTGAACATTGGGTGAAAAGGTAGTAGCGTGTAAGTAGATATCCACGGATTAAGAATATCAACGACTTATTTTTACCTAATACTGCTCACAGAACAGAAGCAGTAAGATCAAGTAACCAAGCTATATATGTGTTCACTGTAAAGTAATACATAAAAACAACAAATACATAGAAATATTTCTAATTCCTTAAAATTCAAGGAATTTCTTACCATCTTCTCCCGTGTCTCCAGGGAGTTCGTTATCACTTGGGGCTTTGCCTTGCTCAGTCTGTTCTTCTTTATTCTATACATGACATAAATAGAATATGTCAATGTCTGATCTTCTCATTCAGTACATGAAATATTCTCGATAATATGAGCTCAGCCTTTTTCAGTGTTTTGTGTTATTGTTTGACAAAACATAAAAAAAAAAAAACACGTAGAAACAATAAACAAATCTAATCTTATTAATGGGATCTAGCGATCTGAGCAGAATTACTCTTAGGATTTAAATGTATATATATCATTGTATATTATGCATGATTTCATAAGATAAACAAGGCTTTTAGACTTTGATTATTGTCAAATATATAGTCGTAAAATATTCTGGAGATTTCATCATTTCTTTAATAATATAAATTGTTTGAACGAAATTTAGACGACTTGAAAAATTCGTTCATGCTTTATACTGATTGCGTTTCTTCGTCGAAAAATATTACCGTCAAATTTGTATGTTAAATAAAGTGAATAGGAATATTTTACCATGAAATAAACATTTCTTTATCCCTGAATGATGTTTAAAGCAGAAAATATTGAATAAAAGTTAACATTTTCATTTCTAAGGATAAATGATTCTTAATAAAAATTAAAGTTTCTTAATATTTCACATCAAATTGTCTGAAATAAAAAACTTTCTTCTTCACTGTCCAGCACTGTATTCATAATCTATGTCAAATATTATTAGTATTTATACCTATATTTGAATCAGTTAATCTTCCTTAAAAACGTAAGTGTTATTATGATATTTCCAAGATATAAATGATTGAGCCCCCCAGTAGTTCAACTGTAACTCTGTAAGTTTACAACGCTACGAACCAGGTATCGATACTCGTGATGGGGGAAACACAGATAGCCAATTGAAGCTTAAGAATAACTAAACCAAACATAGTTTGGTGTGGGGCATGCCTTGTAGTTAGCTTGCTTGTGGCTATGAATCTGGGGGTTCACGGCTTCCTGCCGTAGAAACGTACTTGGAATGACGGTCAGATCCCACTTTTTGGTCAGAGAGTTGGCTCAAAGTTAAAGACGGTTATGTATAGATTACCTTTGTGCGGGGCCCGGCATGGTCAGGTGGTTAGGGCGCTGGACTCGCAATCTGAGGGTCGTGGGTTCGAATCCCCGTCACATCAAACATGCTTGCCCGTTCAGCCGTGGGGGCGTTATAATGTGACGGTCAATCCCACTATTCGTTGGTAAAAGAGTAGCCCAAGAGTTGGCGGTGGGTGGTGATGACTTCCCTCTAGTCTTACACTGCTAAATTAGGGATGGCTAGCGCAGATAGCCCTCGTGTAGCTTTGCACGAAATTCAAAAACAAACAAACAAACAAACCCTTGTGCGAAAATCCTGGAACAAACCACAGAAATATTTTATCTGATATTTAATGTATTTCTTAATAAATAAACCGTGTTTTGATATCTTATTACTCTAGAAAGTGTTGAATTATCATCAGAGGAAATTTAGTTGTTTTTAATATTAATTAGTGTTAAGGATATCATGTAAAATAACTCGAAATAACAAATTATTAGCTTTCTTATGTTTTCTGTAAAGTTTTTCTATTGTTTAACGATATTACTTGGAAAACTAAAAGAAGTGCTTTGTAGTATTTTGATTCCTTGTTTGGTGAAGGAAAACATGTTTTACAGAATAACATGCCTAATTAGCAGAGAATATCTTACAATTACTGATATCGAATCATGTTTTACAGAATAACATGTCTAATTAGCAGAGAATATCTTACAATTACTGATATCGAATCATGTTTTACAGAATAACATGTCTAATTAGCAGAGAATATCTTACAATTACTGATATCGAATCATGTTTTACAGAATAACATGTCTAATTAGCAGAGAATATCTTACAATTACTGATATCAAAGTGAATAATACAGTTTAATTGTTTTTTTTTTAGGAAATCGTAATATCATAAGTTTCTCGAGTAAACAAAACATCCACACTCGTCAAATAATGTAAAAATATTTTCAATTATGAAACTTTATTGGAGGTAGTCGATTTTGTTTCTATTTCAACTGAGAAATAAAACAAACATGGGAAGCATATATATATATTTATTTTTCGATTTGTTGAACTGGAATTTGAATAAACTGGTATGTAAACGGAGTAATATCTGTTCCACATGTGTTTTCTAGTGCTCTGGAAGGATACTGGTGTAAGCTTTGTTTATGATATTTTACTTAGAGGGAGTTTATACGTCACGTGACGAGCGCGCGGTTTAATGACCAAAACCTCTTTAAGTTGTGCAAAACGATATAAAACGCGAATTACTTCAGAATAATTAAAGATCTGTTAATGATTCTGTTACTGCGCTATATTTAATACTCAGTTAGAGAGTTTGTTTTAATTTGTGGTTTGTGTTTCAATAAATACTAGAGATAACAGAGGTACGAGTGAATTACAAGTGGCTGTTAATAGTGAGTTAAACCTTCTTTTAGTTCGTGAAACCGTGTAAGTTCTAGAACATGAAGTTCAAGAAATAATACGATATACTGACGGCATGATTATTGCATTAGTGAGTGTATTGGTCGATTTGTTTGTTAGTTCAGTTTTATGAATTTTGAGTTTGCGTTTCAGCAAAGTACTAGAGAGAGAATAAGTGCCGAACATGCTAGGAAGTTAGCAAGTAAATGACTGTTTAACGTTATATATCAAGTTAAGCATAACGTTAGTTCATGTAACTATGTCAATTATTGTGTAAATTGTAGAACTAGAAATAAAATGCTTTACTTGTCACTAAGTGGACTGGAATAATTTAAAATCATCACAAAACAAAGAAACAGCTACAACAATACATTTTTACCGTAAGTTGAATATACAACAGTACATTTTTACCGTAAGTTGAATATACAACAATACATTTTTACCGTAAGTTGAATATACAACAGTACATTTTTACCGTAAGTTGAATATACAACAATACATTTTTACCGTAAGTTGAATATACAAAAATACATTTTTACCGTAAGTTGAATATACAACAATACACTTTGACCGTAAGTTGAATATACAACAGTACATTTTTACTGATTGTTGAATATACAACAATAAATCTTTACCGTAAGTTGAATATACGATCTATATCAGTGTTTACCCAAACAAGAACACTAGGAGTTCTTAAAACCGTAACATGAATATTTACTGCATTTGCATGAATTTATGATAGCTCGATAACAAAAACAACAACAACAAAAAAAAACTGTCAGAAAAATAACGTTTCAAATATAGTTATAGATAGATAAATAAACTATTAAATGTTGATTGGGTGGAAGCTACGGTTATTTAAACCAGTAAAGTTGGAGAAACAAGCATAAATCAACAGTTATTTTATAGTTTCATGTTGTTTAGTAAAATATATCCGAAAGCACAACATAAAGTACGACAGACAAAGTGTTGCTTGGAAATCGGGATAGCAAAGAATCACAAATTATAAAACATTAACAGGACATCTGATTCGCTAATCTACCAAGATCAATGATTCTATTTGGGATATTCATAGACTTGGATTCGTACTGTCGGGAGGATAATGAAATTTAACTAATGGAAGTAATATAACTTGATATTTTCTAGAATGTACAACAAATGTGTAGCATTACCGTTAATAAATAAAATTATCTAATTTCTCTTACAGCACATAAAATTATCTAATTTCTCTTACAGTGCATAAAATTATCTAATTTCTCTTACAGTGCATAAAATCATCTAATTTCTCTTACAGTGCATAAAATTATCTAATTTCTCTTACAGTGCATAAAATTATCTAATTTCTCTTACAGTGCATAAAATCATCTAATTTCTTTTACAGTGCATAAAATTATATAATTTCTCTTACAGTGCATAGAATTATATAATTTCTCTTACAGTGCATAAAATCATCTAATTTCTCTTACAGTGCATAAAATTATCTATTTTTTCCTACAGTGCATAAAATCATCTAATTTCTCTTACAGTGCATAAAATCATCTAATTTCTCTTACTGTGCATAAAATTATCTAATTTCTCATACAGTGCATAAATTATCTATTTTCTCATACAGTGCATAAAATTATCTATTTACTCTTACAGTGCATAAAACAATATCAAATCTTTCCTATATACAGCGTATAACAATTCAAACATACTGTATGATAAGCACTCTGAGAAGTGTCCTCCAGTGGATTATGAGTAATTTAGTTTACGGACTAATAACTTCAAAATCCGGATTTTGATTCGTTATTCGTAGATAGCTTATTTAATGTCTTTGAGTTAAGAAACAAACAAACAAGCTCTGAGAAGAATAGTAATTTATCAATCAAAAACGCTAATCTGGTGACATCTCTATCTCAAGCGACAGAAACACAACAAACTTGTCTTTTATAAAACATAACGTAATGCCTACTTGTATGAAACTTACTTTCTTTTAATGGGTACTTCTTCCAACAAGATGTTATATAATTACTCGCATCTAACTTACCTTTCTCTTATTGGGCACTTCTTTCAACTTGATATCATGCTTAATTTCACTGTTATCACAATGAACAGGATACAGAGTATCCCCATTTATTTTCTCTTGATATTTTCTAGGACTGTACACTTCAAATGTTTTTCTCTCGGACGTGGTATTTCCTTGAAATGTTCAAACAGTAACAATAAACGAATAGAAATATTCATATGTAATTGTTTAATATTTCCTGTAATAAAAAACAACAATAAAAAAGTTTTCATTTCAAAATACGGTAACAAATTAAACAATAACAATCGTGTATTATGCTTAAAGAAAACATTGTATTATATTACTAATGACACTAATACATATTTCTGTAAATTGTACATTTTAAACGATTCAATCACTATTTAAAATGAATCTGGAAACAAACATCACATCTTTCCTCAGCTTTCTTGTGCACACAGGAATAAGTTTAATTAATACAGTAACGACTGACAGAGGATCAAACAGGGATAAGTTTGAAATTTAGGCTATGTAAAGTAACTAGTGTTTCACATCATTCCAACATTATACGGAGAGGAGATAAACAAACCTTGATTTTCTTGGTTGCGTTTTCTTTTCTTAAGAATGAAGATGACGAAAACGAAGTTTAGGAAAACTAGACATAAGCATGAAATAACGCCTACTATGATCAAGAGACTTGAGTATCCTTTGCTCTCTTCATCAGTGGAACTGACCATAATCTTTGAAGTATTCAATACGGATGTATCTATACACATTTAATAATAATATTAAAATTATTTCCAGTGTTATGGATTAACTGAAATTAGTGTATATTTAGAAAATACGTGTACTTAAAATGATTTGAAAAAATTATCTACACTCTAGAAATATCTTAGTAAAGAGACGGAATGTTGTTCAACATAGTAGCGATAAAGAAAATACAAACAAATTAAATATTCCTTGACTAGTAAGCGAACATAATAACACGGAAATCTTATTAATAACATTCAAACAATAATAGAATACAATGGACTGTGTACTTTATCAATAAAATTCCTACCCCCTGTTCAATCGCTGCATACCCCAAGCAGCTAAAAACTGAAACGGGTATTCATGCTCTTCCATACGAAATGCAGGGAATCTCTGTTGAAACAAGTGCTGAAAAACAGTCGTCCTCATACACTACATGGATTATGGAAAGTAATCATGGGGAATGGTGATCTTTATACATGACTGTGTTACAACGGAGCTTTTACTATTTCCATGACGTACGATCCTCAGATAGAACATGAATTGACTGTATCTTAAATTCGTGTTAATATAACATAGTCACCCTCTGTACAGCAAGTAATGTGACTTAAAGGCTATGGATTTAGGATATTGAACTATCCAAAAAACACCAAATAAAAATTTTAAACACAAAACATAGGAATGAAGCCTGTTGGTCTTGTTGCTTTACAAAATCTGTACATTAGTGTGGTATAAGGGATTCAGAACATTGGTTTGATGGCAAGCAAAAATCACCTTGTATCCATTCTCCTGATCACTTGCCAATGACGCAGTATCCATTGATTATCTTCAGAAAGTTTCCTTTGAAAAGTTCCTTCAAAAAGTTTCTCAATATGCTGCGTATTTTAGAATATTTTGTCAACCATTGACTAGAAGAAAATGACACAAGACTTGAGACTTGTTACAGTTATCAAAGCTCTCATAAACTCCATCGAGTATTACCACTTACTGCCACTTATTCGCATACAGGTAGCTGTATATACAGTTGTCTAGAGTCAGTCTTACTTTCCTGTATATGTCATGGAAGCATTTAGTTTACACGTGACTTGTGGCGCTTTTCCAGAAAGAGATCCTTTTTGATTACATTATGTTCAGTGGTCTCAGGCCCATCAATGGTTTTTGTCATTGACTTTTGTGTTTGTCGATTATCACATGTTACACTTTTTTACTACGACTTATTGCAGATCTATTTCCAGATGGTCCTGGTACTCTAAGATGATTATTTTTTCCTTTGTTTTCCAAAACCATTAAGTACAAGAGATGTTCTCCGTTTTGGAAATTCTAAGTCTTCGATCTGAACATACATTTTTTTATCTATATGTGTGAATAGTTTGGTTGAAAAAAAGCTGTTATATACCTCCCTCGAAAGAATATAATTCGGTAAGATAACACTACCTATGAAAAAAAAGTCGTAGTTTATTTTTGATACATGCCTTTCCCATTCGACTTTATGTCGGTTATGGTTGAGACATGACAAGTTGATTTGCATATTCAAAATCGTTTCATTATAATCTGCTCAACCCTCTGCAATATCATAGCAATGTTTACCAAAGAGCTAAAGTTTGAGCTAAATTAAAGAACTGGCTCTCTTTGAAATTCGTCGGATATATCTGCCTTTGAATGATACTCTTTCTACATATAAGTAATTAAATACCTAACTATCAGTAGCTAGCTATCAGTTGTAAAACATAGACATCTCATGGGTGACTCATTTCTCAAACAAAGTGAATTTGAGGGAAGCATGCACCGAGTCAAATATTTACTAGTAATATTTACATACTTTAGAAAGCTATGTGATGTTACATTAGTGTAATTTTCTTGAGTGAAAGTGAACCTACGTTTGTTTGTTTTAGAGCAAAGCCACATTAGGCTAGCTGCTATGTCTACTGCGGGGAATTGAGCCCCGGATTTTATCGTTGTATGTTCATAAATATACCGCTATTCCACTGGAGAACGTAAACTTATGAATCATTATATGTTAGTAATAACAATTCTATGTAGGTTGAACAATATCGACGTCATAGAATGTATGAATGTAAAATATATGTAGAATAACTATAGAGAAAAATGAAATGCAATATATTTTACTAGTTAGTAATATATATATATATATAGTTAGTTAGTTATTAGCCAATTTCTGCAAGTGTACAGGTTGGGAAGTCTTACCCAAGGTTCTTGTTGTTGCAATGACATCAGTGTAACTACTTTCTCCAAACCTATTTCTGGCCACTACCTCAAACCGATATTCGGACTGTGGTTTTAGTCCTTTAATAACCACAAAAACAGAGCTTTCTGGTAGGAACTGGGTGAATTTGTACTTCGGAGAATTACTTTCGTGATATCGAATTCGAAACTCTTGTGCACTTCCACCATTAAAACCGGGAATCCATCCCAAGTTTATCGAATCGTCTGTAGCGTTGAGCACACGTACATTCTCAGGGGGATCTGGTTTGCCTGCAGGACATTAACATAGTTACACTTTCTAAATACTTAAAAACAGCGAGCCTAAAAATAGAAGAACGAAAACAAGTATTATCACACTTTCTATTTATTTATGAGCTAAATGACGTACAAGATTAAACATTTCAAGGAAATAAGAGAGTCATAGCAGATTTTTACAGGCTTACTACTAAAAATCGTATTTAGCAAGGTTCTCTCTATTGCCAGATTTACCATAAAGTGCCGAAAGCGATCATTTCAGGAAAATGTCATCCCCGTTAGTAACTCAGGAAATATTATATAGTATTAGTATTAGACGAGATAGATCACTTTAGGAAAATGTCACCCTCGTTAGTAACACAGGAAAAATATAAAGTATTAGTGTTAGTATTAGTATTAGCCGAGAGAGATCAGTTTAGGAAAATGTCATCCTCGTTAATAACTCAAGAAATATTATACAGTATTAGTGTTAGCATTAGTATTAGCCGAGAGAGATCAGTTTAGGAAAATGTCATCTCGTTAATAACTCAGGAAATATTATACAGTATTAGTGTTAGCATTAGTATTAGCCGAGAGAGATCAGTTTAGGAAAATGACATCCTCGTTAATAACTCAGGAAATATTATACAGTATTAGTGTTAGCATTAGTATTAGCCGAGAGAGATCAGTTTAGGAAAATGACATCCTCGTTAATAACTCAGGAAATATTATACAGTATTAGTGTTAGTATTAGTGTTAGCCGAGAGAGATCAGTTTAGGAAAATGTCATCCTCGTTAATAACTCAGGAAATATTATACAGTATTAGTATTAGCCGAGAGAGATCAGTTTAGGAAAATGACATCCTCGTTAATAACTCAGGAAATATTATACAGTATTAGTGTTAGTATTAGTATTAGCCGAGAGAGATCAGTTTAGGAAAATGACATCCTCGTTAATAACTCAGGAAATATTATACAGTATTAGTGTTAGCCGAGAGAGATCAGTTTAGGAAAATGACATCCTCGTTAATAACTCAGGAAATATTATACAGTAAAGAGCAGGCTTGTGGCGGTAATATTCAGTCTAAGAGTATGATGGTTTCCCCGTCTTTTGTTCACCACAAATAATACCTTACATCTGTATAAATTACTTGTAGTATGTGAGAAATATTTCACATGCCACACATGGGCACACACATGTGTGTTAGAGCTCTGGAGTTTAGAATTGGCGATCCCGGTTCGTTTTCATTCATGCCACGACATATTTCACGCCCATTAATTTGTGGATGTGTTATAATAATGACAGTCAATCCGTTAGCGTGGATGGTGACTGATTGTTTGTTGTTGAGTGGCTGCGTTCCCTCTGGTTTATTTGTTGTTAAGAACAAAGCTACACTATCTGTGCTCCGCCCACCACGGGTATTGAAACCCGGTTTTTAGGCTAGAAGTCCATAGATTTGCCGCGGAGCCACTGGGGTCACGCTACCCCTGGTCCGTAGCTCAACGTTTAGAGCCTTAATATATTTGCAATAAATATAAGTGCAATACAAACGCAACATACACGTCTAAATTATAATAGAATTAACTTGTGTGTATATAAATCTTAACGTATAATACCTTGGTATACAGTAGGCAAGTGTTCATGTTAAAAACGTAATAAAACTGAGAATTAGTAAAGTACCTGAAGAAACTATTTCTAAAGTTCAATTCTATTTTAATATATTCCAAATAAACTGATTAATTCTTTTACACACACATATATGTATATACGTATTCATTTTTATGTAAATAAAGAATGAAAGAAGTGTTTTGTTTTTGAATTTCGCGCAAAGCTCCACGAGGGCTATCTGCGCTAGCCGTCCCTAATTTAGCAGAGAAGGCAGCTAGTCATCACCACCCACCGCCAACTCTTGGGCTACTCTTTTACCAACGAATAGTGGGATTGACCGTCACATAATAACGCCCCCCACGGCTGAAAGGGCGAGCATGTTTGGTGGGACGGGGATTCGAACCCGTGACCCTCAGATTGCGAGTCGAGCGCCTTATCCACCTGGCCATGCCGGGCCTTGAAAGAAGTGAACAAGATGGCTACCACTTCAATGTTGGAAATACTCAGCTTATAATCAGAAGGAATGTCTCTTAGAGAAGTATATGTTTCCTACGTGTCGAACTTATTTCACGAATAAAGTAGAAATAAGTTTAATTAATTTACTTGAAAAGCTTCTCCACAGGCAAATTAAACGAAGAAAAAAATGGCCGAAAGACTAAATTTCATTGCATTGAAAAACAAATATGTATGTATGTATATATGTGTGTTTGTGTTAGTTACTTTTTAATTGTTAACTTGGTAAACCACCGTTCTGTAGCAATCTTACCAACTGAGTTCTTGCTTAAAAAGTCACGTTTCTCGATATGCAGCAGGCTAGGCGGCTGTACATTCTGTCAAAAAGTTACGAAAATAAACATGTCTTGTCTGACATTACGAGTATTTCTAAAAGTTTCCAAAGTATATCATTGGGTTCCATCTTACTATTGGTTACATTTATGTTAAGATATCAAGCAAATGTAACAATTTCTCCATAAATAGTGTTCAAATTAAAATATTATAACGATCAACTTTTATAAATTGTTTGATTAAAAAGTTGACTGTTTTTATTATTTATGTTTAAACAAGTACTCTTTTTTTGGGCTTTAACCTTTTTTCTGTATACGAAAGCCAAAAGATGATTTTAATTATTTTAGTAAACTAGAACACACACTCTCTTCTAAACCTTCTGAAGACGATGCTAAGTAAATGTTAGGGTTATCAGAAATGAGTGTGGAATATCTGCACAGTTTCTTTATTAAATATAAAAAAAACGTTAAAAATAGTTCTTTATTTGGTGAAGATAAAGATGGAACTTTACCTTTTCTCCTGAGTGTGATCATGATGTTATCAACACCTAATTGGTTTTTCGCAATGCACATGTACGTTCCGTAGTCAGAGTCAGTAACATTCTTGATAAATAAAACACTCTCCCACATAGTCTCGTCTAACTGAGCTTTTTGGCTGGTGTACTTGGAGTTACCTAAATAACCTTCTATTACTACTCCGTTGTCTAAGGACCAGGAGAAGGTAACGTTAGGAGCAGATTCCGCTACGCAGACTAGACGTGCAGTGTTTCCTTGATCAACAGCAACGTTCAGTAGCTGTCTTGTTAAGTGAACGACAGGCTTAACTGTTCAAACACAAACCAGAGAAAAACAAGGCATGAGATGTAAGCTTTCTAGAGTCCTAACAAAATATAAAAAATCAAGAGATGATCACACCAAATATTATCAGAAATATTCATAGACCAACTGTAGAACACAATATCACGTGCACTGAAATGAGTACAAAGTAGAGGAGATATGTTAAGGTGTAAAATGTAAAATATATGAAAAACAAAACAGTAAGAGGCGTATTGGGAGAAGGTGCAAAGAAGATCATAGGAAACAAAATTAGCTATTTACACGAGATAACATATTTTACTTTACAATATTGACAAAATAACAATACTAAGCAGATCCACAAGAGATGATAACTCCGTATTATTTTTAATGTAATACCGTCATTTTTCAATTTTCCCAACTGCTGTTTGATAAAAATAAACGAAAGTCAAAAATTTATATTTTAAAAATGTTTAAGTGTTTAAATTTCTTTGCTTTCTCTATAGAAATAATATACGCTTTCTTTCATGTTTTTAACAAACATTTTATGAGACGAAATGTATGAAATGGTAGGAGGAACTTTTCGCTTCTGCTCATTCTTGTGGATTGATTGTAGTATCATCTATCATAACGAGACCAGATCTATGCATAACTCAAATATTATTCAAAGCTTTGGGTTGTTTCATAGAACTAGAATTTTTAGAGGCAGCGGATTTTAAAATTTCATATCTTACTAATACTATTTTATTATTAGATATGATTTCAATAAATCTTCCCTAAGCAGAAAGTGGAAAAAACATAAGGAATCGAAAATTAACATGACTGAAGATTTATCTATTAATAATGATTAATTTTTGCATATCCACTCACGACTCACACTTGACTACAAGCAGAGCACGAGCCTCTATTTCTTCTCCAATACCATTGTAGGCCAAACAATGAAAAGTACCCGCGTCCTTCCTAGACACATTGAAAACCTTGAATATGGTCTGTCCTTTTCTAGATACCAACTGCGTCCTGGACATGTCAAACCCAGATCTGGTCCACCGTATAGTATCTTCGGTGAGAGGATTACCGTTGGCTGCACATTCGAGTTGGGCGTCATCTTCTTCGTTTACCAGAACCACATGGCTGACTTTTGTAATGAAAGCCTGATCTGAAAATAAGAATCGCTTAAAGTCTTACTAAGTACACCACAGAGTAAACTTACGATTACCTGATGTGAAGATAAGAATAGCTTAAGGTCTTCCTGAATACAACACAGAGCAAACTTACGATTGTCTGATGTGAAACTAAGAATAGCTTAAGGTCTTCCTCAATACACCACAGAGTAAACTTACGATTGTCTGATGTGAAACTAAGAATAGCTTAAGGTCTTCCTCAATACACCACAGAATAAACTTACGATTACCTGATGTGAAGATAAGAGTAGCTTAAGGTCTTACTAAATACACCACAGAGTAAACTTACGATTGTCTGATATGAAACTAAGAATAACTTAAGGTCTTCCTGAAGCAGAGTAAACTTAGGACTGCCTGATCTGAAGATAAGAATAGCTTAAGGTCTTCCTGAATACATCACAGAGTAAACTTAGGACTGCCTGATCTGAAGATAAGAATAGCTTAAGATCTTATTGACTCCCACCATAAAGTATATACCCGACTGCCTGACCTGAAAACAAGAGTAGTAGTTTAAAGTTGAACTGAATATCAAAACAGGGTGTCAGTCCGTTTTTGAAAATTATGAATATGAAAAACAAAAGAGAAAATATCATGCTTGCCATGCGAGTTCTTATGGCTACATACCATTACCAGGCCTAAGGAATATAGAGTTTATCAGGGAACTCATTATGAGTGTCAGAGGTAAACTTTAAGAAATATAATAATGTTAACTGTTTTCAACCATAAATGTTTTTTTCCTAAAAAACACAGTATTTTAAATCAACGTATTATTGTTATCAGTATTTTAGTACTTAAGGAATGTATATATATTTAGTCCAATTGATTATTAATACGTCCTCCAAAACTGTCTGTATATAATAGTTAGCTTTACTTCTTTAAGGAAAGCTTTCTCGTGAATTTGATTTGGTTTGAATTTCGCGCAAAGCTACACGAGGGCTATATGCGCTAGCCGTTCGTAATTTAGCAGAGAAAGACTAGAAGGAAGGCAGCTAGTCATGACCACCCACCGCCAACTCTTGGGCTACTAGTTTACCAACGAATAGTGGGATTGACCGTCACATCATAACGCCTCCACGGCTAAAAGAGCGAGCATGTTTTGTGGGACGGGGATTCGAACCCGCAACCCTCAGATTGCTAGTCAAGCACCCTAATCACCTGGCCATGCCGGGCCGCTTTCTCGTAAAAAGGATTACGTCGGAACGCTTTTAATTCATAACATGTTTTTTTGTAAATTGAAATGACATGTTCCTTACACGGTGAGGGAATAAAAATAAATACATATAATTCAACGATGTTAACTATTAGAAAAATATGTGTTTTATTTCTCACCGGAGAGATACGTCGTGATAGATCGTACCCTTGTTACTTAATTTATTCATTTCAGAAGTCTGACGCTACGAAGAAGTTTGTTATAGGATTGGTTTGAGTATTAAACATAAATCCTGTACAGATGTGAGCTTTTGAAAAATTAAAGTTTTTAAAGTCCAGGGTTAAAAGTGTAAAGACACATCATTTTATCTGATGAGCGTTGTACATGTGTTTGTCCAAGTTATATCAGGAGCTTTAGTTATGAATTAGAAAATAAAACAGCCGGGTTAATACAGAAACGCGAGTAATACTGTAAAGCCCTGCATTTCATTAGAAACTAAAAGATAACTTATATATATATATATATGCATATATTTAGGACCGAAAATATCGTCGACAGCGAAGATACCCAACTCACGACGTTATTCTAAACTTTATGACTAGGAACATAAAAAGGTGTATTTAATTAGCTCTGATCGGAATTTAATATCAGCATATTATCCATTACCGGCTTGATATTCAGTTTCACTCTGAATAAGTAGCTTCCTCTGATCAGAAGCTAATATCAACATATTATCCATTACCGGCTTGATATTCAGTTTCGCTCTGAATGAGTAGCTTCCTCTGATCAGAAGCTAATATCAACATATTATCCATTACCGGCTTGATATTCAGTTTCGCTCTGAATAAGTAGCTTACTCTGATCGGAAGTTAATATCAATATATGATATTAAAAACCTAAAATATAAGACGGACAAAGTCAGTGATATACTTTCTAAAATAAGATTACAACATGGTAACGGCGAGTCATCTAGATTGTATTATGAATAAATGAAGAAAGACAGTAGAAAAACTAGTTTTCAGAAGATAAAAATACGCTAGTCTCGACGTTTACTATTTATATGTTTACCTGATTCTACAAGAATCTGTAATCATGTTATCAGAAGAAAGTAAGTTTCATGAAAATATTAAAGTTAGGAAGAAGCAATAGAAAAACAGCTCGTTTTCATAGTCTTTCTCGTACTGACGAATTTTCCATACAGTACTGTAGTTGTATAGGCGTAGGAATACGTGTGAGCAAGCCACTACTCAGTGAGAATAATATTATCGTCGTTGTTATTCAAAGAAAAGAATCGGATGTTTTTGATGTCATGTGAAGTAACATTGTGTTGATGTAAGAGTAGAATAATACCTGGTCTACAGTGCCTAATTATTTACTCAGATTTGGACATATACGTAAACGCAAATACGTGTATGAAAGTACGCTCAGATATGTTTATGAAATTTACTTAATTAAGTACAATAAAATCTACTGAGATATGTACAGGTGTAAGTAAACCCAGATATGTACTAGTGTGATCGTTGAACACCAAATGTTGGTCTTACCAAAAAAATAAAATACCAATCTGTATTGTTAAGGCCAAAAGGTTGTCCGAAATCTGTAAAATCTGCTTTTGGGAATTATGTTTGTATAAAAATTAGCTAAAGTCACCTTTAAGATTTTTTTTTCTGACATCAGTTGAAATAAAAATCATTTTCGGTCTGATAAATTCGAAGTCATGAATCGTATTGAAATTATAAATATACATATATACAATTACGGAAAACAGAAATTTTGTTTTGGAAAATTTCTACAATAAACAATAGTAGCGATGCTGCTAAATCAAAGAAAAACAAACTCTAGGAAAGTAGCGAGAAAGTATTTATCGTCTTCTGAACTACGCATAAATAGATAAGATAGTGGGGAAGTATTTATCGTCTTCTGAACTACGCATAAATAGATAAAGAGAGTGGAAAAGTATTTATCGTCTTCTGAACTACGCATAAATAGACAAGATAGTGGGGAAGTATTTATCGTCTTCTGAACTACGCATAAATAGATAAAGATAGTGAAAAAGTATTTATCGTCTTCTGAACCACGCATAAATAGATAAAGATACTGGAAAAGTATTTATCGTCTTCTGAACTACGCATAAATAGATAAAGATAGTTTTGGCAAAGGAAATGTTAAGAAGGTTGGAACTAGTTCGTGCTGGCTTTTTATAGTCTGTAGTTTTTGGTTGAAGCCATTCAAAATAAGGCTGGTCTTGTTGAATTTTAAAGGATAATTTTGGCAAATGATAAGGTTGGTGTTGGCTTTTTTTAATCTGTTTTTTTTTTCTGGTTGAAGCCATTCAAAATAAGGCTGGTCTTATATAATTTTAAAGTCTTCTTACGTCCTTGTTTGACCACTTGACTGGATTGACTTTTAAAAATTAGTTTTCATTCAGAATGCATTTTTTTTGTGTGTTTTGGCAATAACCAAAATAGCTATGGTTCATTTTAAAGCATAACACGATCAGAGAAACTTTCACGTAACGAACCAGGCAGCAAAAACATTGCAACTAGAAACAAGGCTTAAAAGTTATAAAGTTATTTTGATTATTTCAGAAGGAATTTGAATAAGAAAAGAAACATAACCTCCGTACGTGTGTCCAATTTTAAAACCTGATACTTTCGCATGTTAATACATAATGCCATGAAAAGGATTATGCGCTGGCTGAGGGTACAATAATGTTTTAAATAATACTGGGTTACAGTTATTCGAACGTATGTTTCTACAGGACTGATAGACCCAATATATATATCCAATAAAAATCTTTGAACATGACTCTCTAGTCTTTATCCTGTATTTTAGATCATGTATACGTACTTATATTGTTTATATTTTACGAAAACAAAAGTCATGCCGGAAAGGTTGAACTTCCAATTAGCAAAGACGAAAAAAAATAACGTTGTATGAATTACTCATTTTGGTGTTGTTACTTGTTAGCTGGTGGAAAAATCTGGCGAATAAACAGCGTACAGAATAAAAAGTATGGTTGTTTGTTTTGGGAATTTCGCGCAAAGCTACACGAGGGCTATCTGCGCTAGCCGTCCCTAATTTTAGCA